TATCTCATACAGAAATACAGATGGGGTCTTGCTATGTTGTCCAGGCTGGTCTTGAACTACTAGGCTCAAGAGATGGTCCTGCCTCGGCCTCTGAATGTGATGGGATTCCAGGCCTGAGCCACTGCACTGATCCTCGGATTATCTTTTCGGGTGCTTATCTGCCACCTGTTTAGTGCTCTGGTGAGATGTCTTTGACCCATTTTGTAATCAGATTATTTTCTTATTTACTGAGTCTTAAGAGCTCTTTGTATATTTTGGATAACAGTGCTTTATCAGATGTCTTTTGCTAATATGTTTTTCCAGTCTGTGGCTTGTCTTTGTTTTCTTTGCAGAGCAGAAATTTTTTATTTTAATGAAGTCCAGCTTACGTCACACAAGGCAGAACCGCAAATCCGACACAGGGCCCACCCGATGCTGCTGCTCCACAGCTGTGTGGCCTGGGCCTGTGTCTGCCTCTCTGAATTTCACATTTCCCCATCAATACCTTCACTCGGAGAAACTATGGATGAGAAGTTTGTGGCACAACAAATATTAGGGTCTACAGTTATTGTTTACAAGGTGCTGTAAAATAAACACTTCAACTTTGCTTTCAGGCAGAGAAACATCCACCTAAAAGTCCTAGATAGGGGCCAGGTGCCATGGCTCATGCCTGTAATCCCAGCACTTTGGGAGGCTGAGGCAGGGCAGATCACCTGAGGTCAGGAGTTTGAGGCCAGCCTGGCTAAAATGGTGAAACACTGTCTCTACTAAAAATACAAAAAAATGCTGGGCACTGTGGCTCACGCCTGTAATCCCAGCATCTTGGGAGGCCAAGGCAGGCGAATCACAAGGTCAGGAGTTCAAGACCAGCCTGGCCAACATGGTGAAATCCCGTCTCTACTAATAATACAAAAAATTAGCTGGGCTTAGTGGCAGGTGCCTGTAATTCCAGCTACTCAGGAGGCTAAGGCAGGAGAATGGCTTGAACCAGGGAGGTGGAGGCTGCAGTGAGCCGAGATCACGCCACTGTACTCCAGCTCAGGCAACAGAGTGACATTGTTTTGTCTCAAAACCAACAACAAACAACTAGCCCAGCATAAAAATTAGCCCAGCATAATGGTGCACACCTATAGTCCCAGCTACTCAGGAGGCTGAGGTAGGTGAGTCACTTGTACCCAGGAGGCGGAGGTTGCAGTGAGCTGAGATCATGCCATTACACCCCAGCCTGTGACAAGAGCAAAACTGTCTCAAAAAACACAAAAGTCGTGGCTAGGTTTCTACATTTGCATGATTAAAAAGTACCCCAAAGCTCCATCTAACTGTGTATCAGTAGTTGTTGAGAAATGCTGAGTGTATGATAAAATATATCGTTTGTTAAGAACAGTGGCAAGGAAAACCTAGCTGGCCTCTGCCAAGTAGAGAACTGCTCGGGCGTTCTAAAGCGGCAAGACAGTATACGAATATCATACACCGGTTAAAACAATTCTTTAAGCGTGGGGTATCTGACCCTGCCCCCGAGGGTCCCTCGTGGAGAAAACTTTTTAGTTTGTCTGTGATCAGTGGTAAGTGGGCACCAGCTGCCTACTTGGTATATTTCTGTTATGAGAAAATACCGAACATCTGTTTGTTAATAACCATCACCTGTTCAGAGAAAATAAATGCGTGCGTCAGGGCCTGCTCCGGCCCTCAGCCTGGAATGCTGTCAGCCCAGGCTCTCAGCTCAGTAGGCTGCTGGCCCCCTGGATAGACCCACTTCGCTGTTCTATCTGGGTGTCTGCTTCTAAATTCCTTCAGTGCTGCCTGGGTGGGGGTCTCTATGGCTGAGCTGGTCTCGGTAGGAAGATGGCCTAATCACAGAGTGACTTAAGGGACCTGGAGGCACAATTGCATATTCGGTGGGAGAATTTCAGGAGAATGAGCAAACCGATCTTAAGTGATCCTTCGTGGATCTGTTTTATGATATTTATAATTTGTTATTTAAAACTCATGTACTTCGAATATGATTTATTACAATATCTTATATTTTGAAACTAGCATATGTATGTTATAGGAAAAAGAACATAAGCAATTAGGCTAGTGCTGTCAGGAATCCAGATTTTCAGCGTAGGCAGAAAAACAGGTGTAAAATCAGAGAAGTAAAACCCGACAATCTGACAACTGGGAAATACCTGCATGAATTCATACTTAATTATTATTATTATTATTATTTTTTTTTTTTTTTTTGAGATGGAGTTTCGCTCTTGTTACCCCGGCTGGAGTGCAATGGCGCGATCTCGGCTCACCGCAACCTCCGCCTCCTGGGTTCAGGCAATTCTCCTGCCTCAGCCTCCTGAGTAGCTGGGATTACAGGCACACGCCACCATGCCCAGCTAATTTTTTGTAATTTTAGTAGAGACGGGGTTTCACCATGTTGACCAGGATGGTCTCGATCTCTTGACCTCGTGATCCACCCACCTCGGCCTCCCAAAGTGCTGGGATTACAGGCTTGAGCCACCGCGCCTGGCCTTAATTATTATTTTTGAGATGGAGTCTCATTCTGTCACCCTGGCTGGAGTGCAGTGGTGCGATCTCGGCTCACTGGAGCCTCCACCTCCCAAGCTCAAGTGGTTCTCCTGCCTGAGCTGGGACTACAGGTGCATGCCACCACACCTAGCTAATTTTTTGTATGTTTAGTAGAGACAGGGTTTCACCATGTTGGCCAGGCTAATCTTGAATTCCTGACCTCAAGTGATCCTTCTGCCTCGGCCTCCCAAAGTGCTGGGATTATAGGTATGTGCCACTGTGCCCGGCCTCATACTTTTTTAATTGGTTAAAACAAAAAACAAAAAACGTATTTCCTAGCTCTGTCTCTTCCAAAGCCCTAGCAGTAAAGAAACCCCAGGAGCAACCACCATCCCCATGACCAGATTGGGGTCTCTAAACACCACATTGACACCAACGAAGGAGTGCACCCTGGGGAGATGACTTGGTTGGGTCCCAGGCAGGAAATGCCGGAGAGGGGCTGGAGCCTGCACCATCTTGGTGGCTGGCAAGTAAGGAAGGTGCCCAAGACCCAAGGGTTGTGTCAAAGGACTACAGAAGGCAACCTGAGGCTGCCTCTGGCCAAAGATAGACAAGCTGGGCATGAAAAAGCCAGCCTGCAACTGACAGATCTGAGAGTTCACCAGGAAGCCCAGGAAACACGCTCCCGCCCCTGCCTGCCCTGTCACTAGGCCAGGGCACTAATTCATTGTTCGGAAAACTGATAGAAGTGAAAACAGGTGTTTTCTCTCCTTTTCTGTCCAAATGGTATTTCAGGGTAATCAAATAGATGATGAGAAAGATTCCTTTATAGAACTCCGGCAGAGGGAACAATATAAATCAAAAAATCACCATTCTGCACCCTTAAGGAAGTAGTAGGTCCAGGCAATTATCAACAGCTGTTCAAAAGCCATTCACTAGGCTGGACGCAGTGCCTCACACCTGTAATCCCAGCACTTTGGAAGGCTGAGGCGGGAGGATCTCTTGAGCCCAGGAGTTTGAGACCAGCCTAGACAACATTACTGAGACCTCATCTCTTATGAAAAATGTACAAATTATCTGGGCATGGTGGTGCACAACCTGTAGTTCCAGCTACTTGGGAGGCTGAGGTAGAAGGATCACTGGAGCCCAGGAGGTCGACGCTGCAGTGAGCCCTGATTGTACCACTGCACTCCAACCTGGGCAACAGAACAAGACCATCTCAAAAAAAAAAAAAAAAAAAAAACCCACAAATAAAACAAAAAACTGTTGGCTAAAAGACCAACAAATCAGGCTGATAACACCTAAACCAGCCAGTCAATCCTAGTGTCACCAAAGGGGCCCAGCAGACATCCTGCGCCTGAAGATCGATGCAGCCCAGGAAGAGGCCTTGAACCTGCCTCTGGCTGAGCCTCCACCAGTCCACAGGAAATACAAGAGAGAGGGGAGCAGTTCAGCACCACACAGAAGCAGCCAGCCGATCCAGAACGGGGCCGTTCTCTAGACAAACGACCTCATTTCTTCAGCGAATATCCGGCACACACACAGGTGGGAGGGAGTCTGCTGCACACACAAGAGGCACCTCGGCCAAGGACAACACAGGGAGCAGAGCCAGGCGGCAGGCTTGCTGGGCTCAGGACTCAGTGGCTTCATGCTGGGAAGCCATGAGACAGCAGGGCCCGTTTCCCATGACCTTGTCAAGAAGGTGTTCATTTAGAGAAAAAATGAGCCCCAGCCTGGAGTCCTCCTGGCTGTCCTCAACCCACCTGACCGCAGGTGAGGGAGCACAGGCCAGCACTGCCAGCATGGTCACTGAATGAATGAAGGAACAAATGAAGGGACTAAGGGGGCCCAAGCCCCAAGGCAAGAAGAGACTCTCCTATGGCTCCAACACTCAGTAAGAAACCGACTTTTCAGGAAGTTGGTTTAATAAGAACAATTCCAGCAAGGCCTGGCTGTGGCCAAAGCTGCGCTGAACACATGGGACCAGAGCCAAGGGCGCTTCCTGCCACCTGGGACCACGCACCAGGCTCCCCACACTATCTCCACCACAGTCGGGACAGCCAAGCGGAGACTGCCGTTCGGCCTGGCCCCCAAGCTGCCCAGCTCCACCTCTGGCCTTTGCTGGTCTCAGCCTGAGAAGCACTGGGTGCCCGCTCACTGGCTGGATGCTGGGCTGGTTCATGGGTGGCGGGGTCAGGACATACCCTCTGGGGATGTCCCTAACCCCTACGGACCAGAGGCTGCACCAAGCAGTGGGGCACAGCCAGGGCTGGAGTCAGCTGCACCCTTTGCTGGGACGCCAGCTCTCCTCAGAGGGCCTCCTAGGGCCACTGGGCACTGTGGGTGGCAGTGGGAGCCCTGGCTCCCTCATTAGGCCACACACCAGTCTGGCCTGGTCAGGGAGGCCCAGCCTCAGGCCTTGTCACACATAGTCCAGAATCTCTGTCTCCATCTCATTCTCACTGCCGTCCGATGGCTTGAAATCCTCCTCCTCCTCTTCTTCTTCCTCCTCATCCTCCTCCTCATCTTCCCCAGACTCGTAAGTCAGCTGCTCTTTCCCGCCGTCGGCCTTGGCTGAGCTGGAAAAGAGAGCTGGGGCCGGGGTGGACAAGGCCATGGGTGTCCCATGCAGGCTCTGGGGAGCCTGTTTCTATTATAAGGTTCTGAGATTTGAGCTCTGAAGAAGCTGGTGGGGAAGCATGGGGTGGAGGCTCCCCTGGGAAGCTGTAATTTAACGAGCACCCAGAGAAACACTGCATAGGGGAGCCGTAGGCAGCTTCAAGGGCCTGGGGACCCCTGAGAGTGAACACACCATTTTCCCTGGGAAAGGGTCTATACCCTTGATTAGATTCCAAAAGGGGGTTGAGTCTGGGTTCCAAGCAGACCAAGAACCCCTGCTCCAGTCAGATCTGGGGGGCGTGAATGGTGCAGGATGCCCCCTCCCTAAGCCTGAGAGGAATGCCCTGAGAGGGGGGCCTCTCATGACTCTCCCCAGCCTCGTCAGATCCATGGCCCAGCAGATGCCGCCCTCCTCCCTTCCCCTGCAGCTGGCCCTTGCCCCTGCCAGGACTGCCTGTTCCCAGGAAGAGGCTGAGCCACGTGGAGCAGGAAGAAGACAGAGGCAGAGCCTGCACATGCACGGCTGAAGACGTGGGCCGGAGTGAGGGTGGCAGGTGGAGGCCTAGCGGCAATGCTGCGCTGTGCACCCTTCCCCTCTGAGCTTGCCTCCTGCCCTAGACCCCAGAGCTGAGGGCCTCACCTGAGGCAGCCTCTGTGGGCAGTCGGGGTGATGCCAGCTCCGGGGCTGGACTCTGGCTCACATTGCCCACCTCCCACCAGGGCCAGGGGCAAGATGATGCCACCTGGGTGCAATTTCTCAGGGATGGGTCCCCTGAGGGATACCTGCTGCCTCTGAGGGGATCCCCAGGCATCCTGGCCCCCCTTTACCCTGAGCTGCTCTCACCAGGCCTCTTGGAGCGGATGGTCTGCCGGATCATGAGGGACATAGTGTCCCTGAGCTCATCACTGGTCTTAGGGAGGCACCACCCATCCCGTTCCGTGCAGGAATGTTCTGCCCCATCATTGCGGTGGATGATCTTCTGCAGCCTGGGGGTGGGGAAGAGGGGTGGGACGTAAGTCCCAGGGTGGGGTCTCTGCCAAGAGATGCCAGTGTTGGTTTTTGGCAGAGGCAGTCCTGTACTGAGAAAAGCAGTGAAGTCTACAGAGGAACCTGAGACCAGGCTGTGTGTTTCTGGCTGGGGCCCTAAACCTGCGTGGTCCCTGGACCGTCACTGACACTCGAAGCGCAGCGTGTACCCTGGCACATGCTTCTGGTGAGCCGTGGCTTTCAGCAGATTTCAACATGTATCTGGCATGTTCCCATCTTCTCCCACCCAGTGCCCTTCCCCTGTAATTCTTTCAACGTCATGAAGAACAAGTTGATAAAAGGGTTCTGGGATCTGATGGGTCCTGGGATTAGGAACCAGCTCATGGGCCTTCATGTGGACAGTGGAAGAGGGGCAAGGACAGAACAGCAAGAACTGTCTCCGCGCAGCTCAGAGCCGAGGCTTTTTACAGGGAACCGCCTGAGGGCGGCCGGCACAGCAGGGCTCCCGGCAGCACCAAACTCCCAGACGGGCGAGTCTTTTTGCGGGAGATTATGGCCGACGTGAAGTGGAAGAGTTGTGAACACTTTGGTCCTCAGTCCCACAGGCCCCCATCACTGTCTCAGCACCCCCCATACGTACTCTTCCACGTTCAAGTCGCATAACTGGTAGAACATCTGCCGATAGGGTGGCAGAGCCCCTTCCCGGAAGATGTAGATGGAGTCCTGGTGAGAAAGGGGGAGAGAGACAGGAAAGGTCAGCTGGAGCTCGGGGGTGCCAGCGTTGGAGATGCCATGTAGACTCCCATGGGGTCTCTCCAAGGAGCTGGCTGGTCACCAGGACCAGGCTTGGCAGACAGGCCAGAGGGCCAGGGAGCAGTTGAGGAAAAAAAAGCAAGGTCCAACTCCCTGGGAGGCTCTGGGAGAGTTAGAGGAGCACCCCAGCCCTCCCGGGGTCACTGGAAACGGTGAGCCTACCTGCCCAGCAGGCACGGTGCCCATGGCATGGGGCTGGCACTAGCCTTTCGTCAGACTCTGCGTTCTGTGCCGCCTTGCACTCTGACTTCATTCCTCACCCACCGCTGCTAAACTGTCATCCTGTGTCCCCTGTGGGTTGCCCTGACATCTTTTCGGGAGAAAGCAGGGCTTAGCAAGTGTTTACTCTCTCCCTACCCAGCTAGGTAGTTGTAGAGGTAAGGATAATGGCCTCAAGGAGAAGGCAGGCCGCACAGGCTGTGACATGGTCACCCCTGACTGGGAAGACAGCAAAGGTCTGAAAAGCCTGGGGAGCAGGCAGGGGCCCCAGATGCTGGGGACAGCGAGTCCCTCATATCACCTGTCTCTGCTGCACTCGTCTCTGCCACCCGCTCCCTTGGCAGGTGATTCCACCAAAGGGGATGAGCCCTTCTTGGCCCCCACCAGGACTGTGGAGCGGCTTGCGGGAACTTGAATGTGGGGACAGCTCTGGACACGGCCAGTCCCCGTCAGGCAACCCCCATTGGGCAACCGCACTGACAGAAACGTGAGCCGGTGAGGCTCCTGCCACAGCTGCGGCCCACATGGCCTGCTCTGGCTTTGTCCTGCGTGTGCCTGATTCCAGTCATTCCAGCGGTGGTCACATGGCTCAGCAGGGGCCCAGGCTCCCAAAGGGCTCCAGGACAGCCACACGCAGCTGCTGGTGCCAGGCTTCCCTCATGCTTGTCAACACCTCTTTGCCACATGTCCCCAACACCCACAGCCCCAGAGCTTTGCACCGAGTTCTTGCCCTCAGTATCTAAAGGCTGCCCCAAAAGCAGGCACGGTGCCAAGGCCCTGCTGGGCAGAGCTGCCCCAATCACAGCCCCCTAGGTGTCGCCCACAGGGTGCTTGGCCCTGAGGGGGAGGTCCTCCCATCCACTCCCGGCATCCGCTGGGAGCCACCCCCTCCCAGGGCTCAGGGCGCCCACCTTGAGCTTATACTTGCTGGAGGCTGCTTTCCGAGCACCGCTCGTCCCCGATGGGCCTAGGCCCTGCTTCAGGTCATGCATGGTGACAAGCTGGCTGGCTGCATGGGGACAACAGCAAGTGCTTTGGCACATGCAGGGTGGGGAGGAGGTGTCTGTCCCAACCACCAAGGCCTGCCCTCTGCCTGCCCTCCCCCTCCTAGGGGAGGAATGGCTGGCAGAGTCCTGGAGTGACCCCCAGGAAGCACCTCCCCGTCTGGGTCCAGGTGCCCCAACTTCCTTGGCAAATACTCCTGACCCACAGAGGGCACCTGGCACACTCACGCGTCTTCTTGACAGTGATGGGGAGGCTGTAGTTGTAGGTGCTGCGCTTTGCTTTGACTGGCAAGTCGCTGGGGGCGTAACCTGCAGGCAAGGGGAGGCGTGTCAGGAGGGCGGGCACAGGGCCTGTCAGCAAACCACACTGGCTTCACACTGGAGATGCGACTTGGGTCCATGGGGTCAGCTCCCAAGAGGGCACCCCAGGCTGCCAAGCATGCCACTGTGGTCACCAACGAATCCCAGGGCTTCCCAGGCGGGGTGGGCACTGAGGCTCTCACGTGCCTGGCCTACGTCACGGGACCACAGGGCACCTGCAGGCACTCAGTGAGGGACGTGGTTCAGAAACCAGGCGGTCCCTGGTGGGGCTAGCACAGAGCTGCGACTTTTGTTTCCATGCATTCTGGATCCAAAAGAGTCTCGGCAAGGGGGCAAAAGGATTTTTTATTCTCCCCAAATGAAAAGATTCTTACTACAAAAGAGAATGCTAGAAACTGAAAGGCATATAGAGAGAAAGGCAGGAACCAAAGCTTTCAGGAGTTTTTACCGTGTTTCATTCCACAACGGATTCGGAAATCAAGGACTTGATAAATCTTGGCGTCTGGGTTTTTTCGGGGGTCATACCCGAATCGAATCCATAGGCTGCGCCAGGGGCCTGTTATCTGGAGACAGAAAAGGTGGGAATGTGAGGCGAGGTGAAGGCCCGGGTCCCGGGGCGGGGCAGAGCCAACACGGAGACAGCAGAAGAGCTCAGGAGCTGGGGACAGGGCTGTGCTGTCAGGAGCTGGGGACAGGGCTCTGGATACCCAGCCCTGCTCTGCCATGCGCAGCCCCTTTCGCTTTGGTGAGGGTACCTGACCTTTCCAAACCTTGGTCTTCCTGTCAGATGGAGGGAACAGGATCACCCTTTCCTATGGGTTCTTTTTTGTTGTTGTTTTGCGACAGGGTCCCACTCTGTTGCCCAGGCTTAGTGCAGTGGCACAATCATGGCTCACTGCAGGCTCGACCTCCTGAGCTCAAGTGATCCACCTACCTCGGCCTCCCAAGTAGCTGGGACTACAGGCACGAACCACCACAACTGGCTAATTTTTATTTTTTTTTGTAGAGATAGGGGCTATGTTGCCCAGGCTGGCCTTGAACTCCTGGATGTAAGCGATTCTCCCACTTCAGCCTCCCAAAGTACCGGGATTTTAGGAGTGAGCCATTGTGCCTGGCTTCCCACGGTTCTTGAGAGGATTAAATGAGGTAATGCCTGTGGAGCCTTTACCATGGTTCCTGGCACATATTAAGTGCCCAATGTCGGCCGGGCGCGGTGGCTCAAGCCTGTAATCCCAGCACTTTGGGAGGCCGAGGCGGGTGGATCACGAAGTCAAGAGATCGAGACCATCCTGGTCAACACGGTGAAACCCCGTCTCTACTAAAAATACAAAAAATTAGCTGGGCATGGTGGCACGTGCCTGTAATCCCAGCTACTCAGGAGGCTGAGGCAGGAGAATTGCCTGAACCCAGGAGGCGGAGGTTGCAGTGAGCCGAGATCGCGCCATTGCACTCCAGCCTGGGTAACAAGAGCGAAACTCCGTCCCAAAAAAAAAAAAAAAAAAAAAAAAAGTGCCCAATGTTACTAGTGGCCTAATCAATGAGACATATTCCGTCCCCAAAAGGTGCTTTTGAAGTGCGTATTTCTAAAAAGCCAATGCCGGCTGGGTGTGGTGGCTCACACCTATAATCCCAGCACTTTGGGAGGCCAAGGCTGGTGGATCACTTAAGGTTAGAAGTTTGAGACCAGCCTGGCCAACGTGGGGAAACCCCACCTCTACTAAAAATGCAAAAAAAAAAAGAGTTGGGCATGGTGGCGCGTGCCTGTTGTTGCAGCTACATGGGAGGCTGAGGCAGGAGGATCACTTGAACCCTGGAGGCTGCAGTGAGCCAAGATCCCACCACTGCACTCCAGTCTGGGAGACAGAGTGAGACTCCATCTCAAAAAAGAATGAAAAATAAAATAATAAAAATTAGGGCCGGGCGCGGTGGCTCACGCCTGTAATCCCAGCACTTTGGGAGGCCGAGGCGGGTGGATCACGAGGTCAAGAGATCAAGACCATCCTGGTCAACATGGTGAAACCCCGTCTCTACTAAAAATACAAAAATTAGCTGGGCATGGTGGCGCGTGCCTGTAATTCCAGCTACCCGGGAGGCTGAGGCAGGATTGCCTGAACCCAGGAGGAGGAGGTTGCGGTAAGCCGAGATTGTGCCATTGCACTCCAGCCTGGGTAACAAAAGCGAAACTCCATCTCAAAAAAAAAAAAAAAAAAAAAAAAAAAAAAAAAAAAAA